ATAACAAAATGACAAAGACTGAAAAAAATAAAAGTTGATGATAGATTGTTTCGTCGGAGTTGCACCGACTCATCAGGAGGCTGAACCCTCGACAATCTGCGGAATCCCCGTATGTGATGGTTTGGGTCATGAACCCTTTGACCCTTGTTGAAGGCAGACTGTCCCAAGCGGAACTTAGCAGCGTGCTGCAACCCTGTGAAGCACCAGGCAACACAGTAGAGGCATCACGGCTGCTCAACGCCAAAAAAACGACTGCAAAGAGCGACATGGCACGCAGGATGCAGCATGGAAACCGTGAAGTGAAGTACAAGAGAACACAAACACGGCAACAGCACTGCAGGGGACGACAAAGCGAGTGGTCCAGCAGGTCGGCAACCGTGGAGCGGAGCACAAGGCACCAGCAACAAAGCAACCAACCTACAGGGCACACAAGCGGCAAACACGGAAGGCACGGCCAGCGGATGAGCAGCAAAGCAGCGAAGAGCGAAGCGCAAGGCAACACTAACAGCACAGCCACACCGCGCAGCGAACACATCAACCTGCAAAGAACCACATGCAAAGCAAGCGGGACACAGGCAGCAAGACAGCGGTGGAGCGCAGACGAGGACGTCCACACATCCAACACAAAGCAAAGCAGCACATGACCTACTCACATCCTGTCTCTTATACACATCTAGATGTGTATAAGAGACAGGGTGAAGAGGTGAGGGGGGTATAACGTGGTGTGTGGGATATGAGGGGGGCTGTGACGGGGGGTATAAGGGATTGCATAAGGCGGGTATAACGCAGAATGTGGGGTTTAGGAGGGGTGTAAAGGTGGTATAAGGCGGGGGTGTAAGGGGGTTATAATGGGGATGCACAGCAGGGTGTAAGGGGTGTACAAGGGGGCTATGTGGGTGGTATAGGGGGCTATAGGGCTTTGTACGCCCTGGTCGGGTTCGGGGTGCTGACCCCGCCAGTCGGCAATGCACCCCCGACCCTCTACCCGAACAAAAAAAATCTTTTTTTTTGGCAGAAAAATTGATGTGTACATGCACATAGGTCGCGTACATAGCGTACACTGGTATGCCTGGCTCTTGAATGAAGTCCAGGACCAGCTGGGACCCACACAGCACCAACCAAGGAAGTGGAGATGAAGGTCCACCATAGCCAAAGGTGAGCCTCTCATGCCAGTTCCTCTCTCTCTCCGCTTCTCATACTCTACGCCCTTCTACTAATGTTATCCATAGCCTGACATGAGGTTCTTCACCCTACCTCCATATCCTAGGCCCTACTACGCCGCTTCCATACCCATAGCCATGGAGCTCTTCTTCCTCACCCTCCAGCTCCACCACCCAGAGGGTGAAGGTAGGCGGAGCTCCTGCTGCTATGAGTGTGTGTAAGGGTATGTGTGCAAGACACAAACGGGTGTAACTTTAGTCCATGAGACATGGACTCCATGCCACTGACTCATCAAGGATGCAGCCCAAGGACACAACAACAATACACAATTCTCTCTTATCGGTTCCCTTGTAAACGTTTTCTATAAGCCATTGACTCGATGAAAAGAGAAAACAGCACGCAGCAAGCCAAACAGCACAAGCCAGTAAGGCACATAGGCTGGAGGGCAAGGGGAGGCGGTCGGCGGGTGAGCAGAGAAACAGCGTAAGGCAACAGAGCACAAAAGAGCGAGGTATGAAAGACAGCGCAACAAAAGACACAGGGCACGGGGGAGGCAGATGGGTAGAAAAGCAGTAGGCAGCAGGCAAACATCACCAGGCAGCAAAGTACACAGGCTGGAGGGTATGGGGGAGGCGGGTGGGCAGGCAAACAGCATAAGGCAACAGAGCACATCGGGTAAAAGACATGCGGTAGGCAAATGGGCAGGCAAACCGCACAGCAAGGGAAACGACAACAAGTCGAACACCGACAAGACAACAGCAGCAGCCCAAAAAATACAGGTATAACAAAATGACAAAGACTGAAAAAAATAAAAGTTGATGATAGATTGTTTCGTCGGAGTTGCACCGACTCATCAGGAGGCTGAACCCTCGAC